TGATGTGTAATGGTGGTCTGATGAAAACTTTGTCAAGGCCATTGACAAAACACAAGCAGCTTTCAAGTACCTCCGTGGAAAATTTCCAAGGTTAAGTGAAGCTAAGATAAAGGAAGGTGTCTTTGTTGGTCCTCAGATTCGTGAACTTCTTCGAAATGATGCATTTGACCATGCACTGCGTGGCAAGGAAAAGACGGCATGGAAAGCCTTCCAGTTAGTGGCAATAAATTTTCTCGGAAACAACAAGGCAGACAACTACAGGCTGTTGGTGGAATATCTCCTCAAGGCATACAAAAGCCTTGGTTGCAACATGTCACCAAAGATACATTTTTTGCACTCTCATCTAGATTTTTTTCCACCGAACTGCGGAGCAGTGAGTGACGAGCACGGCGAGCGATTTCATCAGGACATTGCAACAATGGAGAAACGCTATCAGGGCAAATGGAGCCCATCAATGCTTGCAGACTATTGCTGGACAGTGACAAGAGATGCTCCATTTAATGAATACAAGAGACAAGCCAAGAAGCGCCGAGTAGACACTGAATAGGACTAAACTATGTACATAATAGTTTTTTGCCTTTTGTTTCCTAATACATTTTATTTATATAACCCTTTTGCTGATTTTTAAAGTGTTACATAAACAGGACAGGTGAAATATTATCATGTAAAGCAACCATAAACACATGAAAAGACCTAGGTTTACAATTTATGATTAAAACTATCTACACAATATACATAGACATAAAATGTAAAAACTTAAATATCTTAGAAACAGTAGCCAGTTGTTTTAATTGTCATATTTGAATTTAGCACATCAAAATACATAATAAATAGCACATTTTATCTCTGAAGCAGACGACTTCTCAAAAATTGTAGACCAGTGTAATGCTCAGGACCAAAGCAGAAGCCTGTTCCACAACTCAGGGCTCCTTACAGAGGATGTTCTACCACTGACCTCTTTTCTATTAAATCACGGGGAATCCAACATAAGCACCTCTGCTGACTGCAGCAGTATGGTACAGGGAGACAGGCAGTCTTAAGTAGGTGGACCCTAAGCAACTTGTCTGACTCCATTTTTCTCAGATTATATTTTATTCTAAGTTGGAAATCCTTTGTGTGGTGAGACTTAAAAGGATTTATTTTCACTCAGCTACATTAGGAATCCTAAAGTAAGGATGAGCCTGAAGACAGTCTCCATCCTTATGAATTTGTTCCTTAGTACAATGTCATTGCAGGTATTTCCAACATTTGTCCTGGCGTTAATTATTAACCCTTTTGGGGATCAGGGAAAGAGCTGAACGAACATCTAATAAACATCTTTACGCCCTATGGTTCTTTGCTTCTTCCATTTGCCCCAGATTAAATGAATCTGCCCACAATTAAAAGCAAAGGGTTTATAAGAGTTGGTTTTAGATGTCACTCAGTTGGTGCTAGTATAAAGTATCTCATTATTAAGTATCTCAGTTTGCCTCTCTCAAAATCTAAAATAAGATAAATCAAACATTTTGCCACCAACTCAGAGTATCAAATCGATCTTCTTCATTGTAGATTCTTCCCCTAGTGGGACAAAATTAAATCACAGGAAATGGTCCTTGCTCCTAAAGTCACCTTGTATTCACCAATTCCACCGGACATGCCAGATACTAAAATCAAAATAGTACACACACGTAATGGCCAAAAAAAAAAAAAGCTCAAAATTCAAAACCAAGACACCAAACCAAAAATAAACAAATTAGCAAAACCCACATGCCACACTTTCGTATTTTTCTTTGAGACAGGAAGAAAAATCAAAACAAATGAGGATAGCATTGCAGAAACTCCAAGTAATTACATGAAGGGCTGGTCCACACTGGGGTGGGGGATCGATCTAGGAAATGCAACTTCAGCTACTAGAATAGCGTAGCTGAAGTCGACGTTTCCTAGATCAAACTAAGTTTACTTACTGCGGGTCCACGTGGCGCAGGCAAGCTCCCCCGTCGACAGCGCTTCCTCCTCTCGGCGAGCAGGAGTTCCGCAGTCGACGGGGGAGCGCTTCTGGGATCGATTTATCGCGTCCAGATGAGACGCGATAAATCGATCCCAGAAGATCGATCTCTACCCGTCGAATCGGGCGGGTAGTGTGGACCTAGCCAAATAGGTAAAGCTGATGAAAAATCTGAATGACCACAAAAATGGAAGGAAGCAATGAATTTCCGTGTCTCTAAATAACATACTTGCATCGCGTATCAGAAAAGAGGATTGTGACCCATTACCATACATTATTAGCCTGCTGCCATCTAATTACCTTAAAGTTGCCGTTCAATATTAGGATTTGTGTTATTTTTGTTTCCTGATTATGAATAAAGAAGGTCTGGAAATAGTTTTTGTTTGTTTGAAACTACACACAGTAGAAATAATGAGACAGACTCTCAGCTGAGGCAAACTGGGATAATTCCATTGACTACACTAGAGTCATGCTGACACCAGCTGAGGTGCCTGGCCTATTACGACTTGTCTTACCTGCTGCTGGGTGAAGTGTCTCGGCAGCCTGGAGAACTAGTAGGATTATGACATCACAAGAGACTGAAACCTAAGGAAGCAAAAAGAGGAAGGGATTTTAGTCAGACTATTTAAAAAAACCTTTGATTTTTGTTTACATTATCACCTATTTAACTCTCAATTCCTAATACCCACTCAGGACAATAGTTCATTATGAAAGATTTAACACTTCTGCCACAAAAAATTGAGGGCAGAGAAAACTCCTGCTGCAATTCTCCAACAAAAACAGGTAAAACAAGATTTGATATTTCTAAAACTGGAGGGGGGAGTCCATTTCTTTTTACAGCATGAAGAAGCAAAAAAAGGGATCAGCTCCTTTCCCCATTTCTGTTGGTCATTAAAAGGTCTTCCATTGTGTATTTACCACATTCACTTACTGAGAAGTTAAGTTTGACATGGATCATGAAAAAAGGAGATGAGAAAGAGTTTTATGAAGTGTATTCTGTATGTAAAGTGCTTTCTGATCCTTGAATGGAAGATACTATATAAAAAGTATAAATGTTTACTGTAAACTACACTGCTATCAGCAAAAGACAAATTGAAGATGTGCACAAACAACACAGAAGTCAAATTGAAGCTCACACAAATGAAATTGCCAACACCAAAGCATCTCTGATCAGAGAAAACACCTGTTTACAAAGCACCCGCTACAAATAAAGAGCTATTCTTCAGCAGAGAAAGATAGTCTGCAATTTTCCCCTTGTAGTGACATATTTGTCATTGTTTTTTATGGCATCATAATTCAGTTCTTGCCTTAGCTTGGGTTTCCTCAACTGCGATAGATTTTTCCCCACTTAATTTTCTCCAAAGCAATTAAAAACTTCTCTTGTCTTTGCAGCATAAGCTGAATCTAGGCAGTTTTAAAAGAACCTCCAAATCACAGTTTGAAATGAGGTGATGCTAGCACTTATCCCTACAATCAGTACTATACTTTCCAGACTGGCCATTGGCAATCAGAGAACTATTTTCCCATAACCAGCCACTGAGTTGGGTAACACCTATGCCTAGAAAATTCAGCCTGATCCCCTGACAATTGAAAAACAACTGAAGCAAATAGAAGTCTTCAAATACCAGCCAGGAATACCAAACAGACTCTCTTGCACCCCAATGGCACTCAAATAATAATCAAAATGATCAAGGGTACATGACAGGTCATTAAATCCTCAGAGTGAAATTCTCTCAACTACAAATGACAATGACGACAAAACCTGAAGTCAAATCACTCTGTAGCAAGGCTTACAGGAAATTCACTGCGAATGAGTGGCATTGGATAGCTCCTCACTCAAGCTGCCTGGAAAAGTGCTTTTACCACACCTCAGAATATTGCCTTATGTTAACTGCATTAACTGCTGCTAAATTTTCCCAGTACATTCAGGCAGCATGCACCTGCAGAAAATGACTGCATCAGGCAAGCCTGAACATTAAATTGATGTCAAAGGATGACATCAGCACACAGGTGCAGTGAAGTACATCCAGCTAAAAGGTTAATCCTCGCAAAGTATTTGGGATAGTTAATCGTCTGCACAGGTTCCCTTTTCTTAGGTACTTTTATGGTCTTCATTCCAACAGTAGTCAAGAGTCCATAAAATCCAAGTGCTTTTTGAAGGGGCACTCCCAGCTGGAGCTCTCAGAGTTAATACGGTATTACACACGTGTCCCTGAGTCCCACTGCCTATATTAGTGGTTTACAATCAGTTTCTTTAAAAAAAAAAAAAGATTTCTCGCTCCCCTTTCACTACCTGTAAGACTCTTAGAAGCAGGGGAAACTGACTCACTATATAAAGGAAACAGTGTTCATGATTATTCACAGAGTGCTGTCAAATGTACATAAAGCAAACAAACAAGAACTAGAGACCAATCTCTTTCAATTGTAATAATCATAGGTGTTTCCTGTAATACTAAGAGATTGGAAAAAAAATACGGTCGGGGTGCTGTTAACAGCATACATTTACAATCTCTTTAATTCATCTTTTTCTCGTGTAGGATGTAATTATTTATTATTCAGAAAGCAATGGTACACCACACGTGCTATAAACTTTTTCCATACACAGGAAGACCCAGACCGTGGCTCTAAGAGCACGCACTCTAAAGTTCTCATCTACTTATTGTTTTAGGTGGATAACATGTAGAATGCTAAGACCTCCTAAAGGGATAAACAGAGAACAGAAATCACAGTAAAGCCTGTACTAGAGACCATCTTTATTAAGCAACTGCACGTCCAAAGTATTCCCAAATGTTTTAAATATAATTCTCCTCCTCCTTTACTATAAAGCGGTCTCTGTTAAGTAGCAACTTTTTTCTTTTTTAAATGTTCATGCCCTTTGCAGAGGAGGAATATCTCCCATTACAAGTTATATACGAAACTGGGTCCTTCATAAGTCTTAGGCCAGAGAAACATGTAAGGGTATCCCTTGATGGACAACAAGTGATCACAGTTAGAATGAGGTAGAAAAAGTAATCTAAGATCTCCATTGTAGCTGGTATCAGAGAAACTCAGGACAAAGTCATACCTAGGGTTATATCAGCTTTGCATTCAGAAAGGAATCTGAATCAGCATGTATGAAATATGGTATGCAGGTGGCACACTGGGATCATTGTTAATTGCCCAGCCCAAGAGCTGGACTGTACTAGTAAGGCATGTCATAAAGATATCTGTTGCATATCTTTGCCTTTAAAGGGCTTCCCTAGTCAGTCTGGAACTGTTTGAGGCTGTCCCTTTTCTGAAGCACAGAAAGCAGATCTTACAAACTAGATAAAGGCCTTCTACCTGCACTATGACAATGGAAATCAAATGCTCCTGGAGAAAAAACCCAGGCAAGAATGAAAACTGAAACTGACAGCTTTATTTTATGATGCCTAAAGACCCTTGTGAATTTGATAAATGACCTAATGTAGGAACCATCCCTCGATCGTAGGTAGTACCCAGTAAGGCCAAATCCATCTTAATAGAAGAGCCAGGATTTTTGGTGGGAAGGTTTGCTTTTTTCCTCCAAAAGGGGCAGGGTGAGGGGGCAGTGGCGATGGGTAAGACAGAGATAGGATGTAAAAATACAAATACTGTTGGCATAAGAGTTTATTAAGTTCAATGTTGCAGAGGACAAAATCCTCTCATATATGTACTATTTTCCATTTTGTACAAATCACAGTTTTATTATTATGAGCCTCCTGCACACTCATTCATACCAATAAAATGTATTTGGGGAAGGAATTAACTGACTTTTGCTGGTCTCGAGTGGTTGTCTAAGAGAGGTTTTTAACATAGTTCTTGCTTCTTTGTATGAGACCGAACAAAGGTACAATGGAATAACTAGTAGTTATTATTTTATTAAAATTATTAGACCTATTTTCTGCAACAAAATGGGTAAATGCTAGGCCTCACATGCTTGAGAAACAGCTTTGCTTCTAGGACCTCTTGAACTTGTGGCTTTACAAGTTTATTTAACTGTGCGTGTTTTTACAAGAACCTAAACAATCAAACCCCTTCTAGAGACTCTCTTTAAATTGCCAAAAAGCTCATGAGAGTTGGCTCTTTCATAGCACTGATGCTTTGCAAGATGCCACCATAGAAAACAGGATATGCTGCATTGTCTTAGAGCTCAACAGCAGAATATGCTACACATGAACACCTACTAAATTTAGGCAGCTCTTGTTACTCCAGCCAGTGTCTGATTTGAAACACGTGTTGTTTTCTCAACAGTACCCACAAATACCTTTTGTTGTGCAACTACAGGAGATCTGTTCATTCACTGAACTGATTCGGGACAACTCTTTTATGACTGAAACCTAAGCAGATCTACATATAAGTTACTGCATGGTGGACAGGAAAATGAAACGTCTGGCCTCCTCTACATACAACCTTGCTTTAGTTTAATTAAACTAGTTCAAACCCTTGAGTGGATACTCTTATTTCAGTTTAAGGGTGGCTTGTTTTGGTTTTGCTTAAAACTAACTTGGACTGAAATAAGCCTGGCTTAAACTCATATGAGAGTCTCAACATACCCTTTTTTTTGCATTGATTTAACTAAATTGGTTTAAAAAAAATCACACCTTAAATTAAACTGGTAAAACTCTGCATGTAAATAAGTCCTTATCTGTAAGAAAAAAATAGTGGTTTAATTATAGTAGTTTAAAAGTAATACTTGGCACTCTCCTGCAGAATCAGAACTTTGATAAAAATAATATAAAAAGCTTCCAGCTCTTGCAAAGATAACTTTTTGAACGTGGACCAAGCGTAACCAAAGTACTGCTGACTGCCTAAGTCTGGAGACAGCTACCGTGCCCTCTGCTGTGGTCATGAATATTTTCAGGCTGGAGCAAAGAATAAACACACTGCTGTTCAGAATCTTGCAGGCCAAAGTGAAACTGACAATCAGGTTAGTTTTATTCTGCTGTTGCTGGCTTGAGAAAGTCAGAAGCTATTCACTGGAGGAGAAATTAAAAGCATCAGAAACCCATGGAGGTTGATGGGGGGAAAGGAACAGAGAAAGAGCATGTTTTTCTCTTGAATATATTTGAAGGCCCCCAGCTCCGAACACTTCATCACTTACGTAACTAGAGATGGATATAAAAGAAGTGGTCTCCCAAGCAAAGTTCAGGGGCAGCACCCTATCAGGAGTTCTAGAAGTCTCTTCAGACTTGTTGTGATGGCTGGACAAAGAGGAAATAATGAGCTTCTAATTAGGTCTTGGCCCCTGGATCTGACTTATGCAGTCTCCCCTCACCTTACTCAGCCTCTGGCTAATATCTGGTACATTTTCTAAGACTGTAGATACACAAAAACAACAAGGAGTCCAGTGGCACCTTAAAGACTAACAGATTTATTTGGGCATAAGCTTTTGTGGGTAAAAAAATCCACTTCTTCAGATGCGAAAGCTTATGCCCAAATAAATGTTAGTCTTTAAGGTGCAACCGGACTCGTCGTCGTTTTTGTGGATACAGACTAACACGGCTACCCCCTGATACTTGACACCATGGAAAGCACTGTAGATACACAGCTACTCTGTAGACATTCTTGCATCATGTAAACAGTTT